CACACAAATATTTTTTATATATTTTCTGTTTATTTTTATGGATTCAGACCGGTAAATGTAATTAATACTGTTTAATTAAAAAAACAGACCGTTTATTCATATAAGTTATATCCTTAAAAATAACGGATAAGCAATATATATATATATATATATATATATATATATATATATATAACGAATAAACAATATATGTGTGTGTGTGGGTGTGGGTGTGGTTGTGGGGGAATCACTCTTGCAGATGCATACTCAGAGAAATTTGTATTTGTTCAAACCTAATGATACAACCTGTGGTTTATACTGCAAATGTGTTGAGTAGAGCTTAGTTACAGTTTCTGGAGAGAGTGCATAATCTGGTATTACTTATATATATATATATATATATATATATATATATATATATATATATATATATATACACACAGTTCAAAAGTTTGAAGCAACCTCCAGAATTAGGACGGGTGAACTTGACAGAATTGTGAAACCAAAAATGAAAAGGAGTCATTGAAAATAAAATGGAATCAGTTATCAAACGAATGCCAAATCTTTGTGCTGCAGTAATCAAGGCTGAAGGAGGATATTTTGACGAGAGGAAATTTGATCATAAATACATTGTTTTTTCTTTTTGTCATAATAAAATCTTTAATAAAAATATCATGTCTCACTTTTTTTTTAATCATTTATAGTAATAAATATTTTCTCTTATAAAACAACTACTTTTTGGGCCAGTTTAAAAAATTACCAGCGGTCGACTTAAACTTTTGAATTGTAGTGTATATATATTTTTTCTAAAGAACTATTGGATGTTTTTATCTATTATTCAGACAGATCTTTATTAGTATCTCTCTCTATTTCTGAGATGAGGTATTATGTACACTATTTACATTATTCGGACTATTGTCCTAATCTTTGTCGCCATATTTATTACAACATTTCGGCCTTTCAGTATCTGTCTATATTTCTGAGATGAGGCTATGTACACTATTTACATTATTCGGACTATTGTCCTCATCTTTGTCGCCATATTTATCACAACATTTCGGCCTTTCAGTATCTGTCTATATTTCTGAGATGAGGCTATGTACACTATTTACATTATTCGGACTATTGTCCTCATCTTTGTCGCCATATTTATCACAACATTTCGGCCTTTCAGTATCTGTCTATATTTCTGAGATGAGGTATTATGTACACTATTTACATTATTCGGACTATTGTCCTCATCTTTGTCGCCATATTTATCACAACATTTCGGCCTTTCAGTATCTGTCTATATTTCTGAGATGAGGTATTATGTACACTACTTACATTATTCGGACTATTGTCCTCATATTTGTCGCCATATTTATTACAACGTTTCGACCTTTGTATGGTCCGCCCTTCTTCCGGTGGTTGGAATACCAAACTGAACCCTTTATTTCGCTCACTGGGGTACACTTTTCTAGTTACACATGCCATGATTAATGGATGTCACTTGTTAGTTATCTCTTGTTAATTCTCCTCTCCAAGTTCTCCCCTGCCATAACCGGGTATTGAACTCACACTCTTTGGGTCCTGTCATTGGATCTAACCAACGCCTTTATCCACTGTGCCATGTGTCCTTGAGATTTTTATTACTTAAAAGTTATTTTTAATGGATGCTCGTGTTTAAGTAGACGCTCCGTTTATTTATTAAACTTTTTTTTTTTTTAATCCACTGGCCGGAATATTCGAGAAATCTTATTAAATAAAAATATGCGAAATCCGGCAGGATTCGAACCGGCGTCCCACTGGGCAGAGTGAACCATCGTTAGATCCGACATGCTTTCGACCGACTGGGCTACAAAAAACTTAGCCGGTCAGGCGTGGTTAAGTAGTGCCTTTAAGCGAAATTCCTCCAGTCATAGATTCTTTCATCTGTGTGCCTCAGTTCCTAATGCTCTCAAAAAAAAAAAAAAAAAATAGTGATTTAGTACAGAGTTGAAATTATTTTATATTATTTTTTTAATTTTTAGCTAGAAATTTTGACACACATACATTACAAACAATTTCGCGTGAGATGTGAGACGTTTGTATATAAAAAAAAATCCACTACTCCTTTTAGCATTTTTTTTTATCTGATTAATTTTTATTAGCTATCCCGATGAGGTCAGGAATTTACATAAGCCACTTGTGTTGGGTCAGCAAAAGTTTTGAAGATATCATAAACATTGTCTAGAATTACGGTAATGGAAATTATTCATTTCTGACCAGTTTTCATCGTCTAACTGTTGCTTTTTATCAAATCATTCTGGGTGGAAATACCATCCAAAAAATAAAGTTGGCAGCAAGCAATCAAAAGAAAGGATTCATTTCCGATGAAACTTAAACGCGCGTCTCATATTCCGGTTATCTTAAATTTAAATTCTTTTAAATTCTTTGAAAAAATATTTTCATGATTAATTTTATTACTCGTGTGTTTGTCTTCTTTCGACATTTCGTGGCAGCAGACAAGATCGAAGAAACTTTTCAGACAATAGATTTATTTTTTATTTGTTCCCTTTTTTCCTCTATGAAAGGCTAAACGTGACAATATTATGAAAAGGTCACGTGATCTAAGAGTTTTGTCTCTTTACGGAGAAATCAATTTAAGAAAATTTTATAGTATTTTATATTTTTTTAAATTTTTCCATAAAGCATCTTCGAAAGGTATATAAATGTCAATAAATTATTAGATAATTTTGGAAAATATGTTCATTTGTAAAAATTACTAGGTAACGCCCAAAATGCGTTAACTTAGATTTCGTAAATTTTATGTCAATTCTAGTCAGCCATACTAGCTGTCATTGGTTTGCCACTCAATCGCCCATTAATCATCGCTTCAAATAAACACAGCCGTTCAATAACAAATGGTTGTATATTACTTTTTATGTGGTAAGTAATATTTGCTTTAAATCAGATTAACTTAACTTTAAATTTTCTAATTTTATTCAAATAATGTTTTAACAACATCGCCCACGTGACGACAACGTGATCATATTTAAACGGAACGCTGATCTTATATAAAAATTTCAGTTATCTGTTTGGATTAGTTGTGCTCTTATGTCCATCGTCTTTTGTGTTAAATTTTTATATGTTCTAATGTTAATTATGTTTAAATGAAAATGTCCATGAAGATGGTCTTAAATAGACCGAAACGTCCGACGTCGACTTTATATAACATTAATACAGCATAATTGCATAATAAGATTTTTGTTTGTTTTTTCTGTATTTTTTATACATATATATATATATATATATATATATATATATATATATATATATGAGTGTGTGTGTGTATGTATGTATGTATATTTGGAAGAGTTTTAAAATCGATAAATGTGTTTTGTTTACAAAAAATTTGTTAAAATTAAGAAAATGGCCGCTTTTAAGAAAATTTTAAGAAATCGAAATTAAATTTGACTTTCCATTCTATATAATTTCTGTCTGAAATACACCAAAATATTTTACTCACTGGAAATAATAAATTTAATCCTTTAGCTTTCAATTAAAGCTAAAATGAAATCTTCAAGAATGCTTTTTCATTTTTAAAAATTAATTTTAAACCTTAGGTATCGAAAATTTATGCCAAAAAAGTGGAGGTAGCTAATTTACACCATATTTTCTGTTTACTCTCGTTCATTTGTTATAAAGATAGACAAACGAAATCAGACAAAAGTATCCCCAAAACCATTTCTAATTTTAAAAGAAATGTGGAGATTGTGTTAATCAATATAATTTAATCCATGATGAGGCTGCGTGATGAAATTAACAATTTC